TCATGGTTTAGCTATGTGCGTGTCTCTCTGTTTGCGTGTCTAGCTAAGCTTAGAGCCTATATAGACGGTCCTGATGTCTTAATAACAGCAGTTCCCGGATCCCACCTATTACAGGCGCAGAGTGGCACACCGTGTGGTTTTAGTCGGTCCGATTCCGACACACCACCCCGCCGTAAACCCCGGTGGGGTGACGGCCCGAGGGGGTTTCCACACGTAAAAAAAAGAGCCTATATAGGTAAAAAGCTGTATTTTGGCATTCATCAAGCTGGCAATACTGTAAGTGTTAAAGAAAAACAAGTCACTGTCTTACAAAAGTAAGGCGCTTAAGCAACACTTCATAAAAAAACCCAGTGAAAATTACTTGAATGAAGTAGTTAATAATGTGCTATTCCAAAGGTCGCGGGTTCGATTTCCGCTCAAGTCAAACATTATGCATGATATTTAATGTTTGATTGGTCTGGGTGTTTATATGTATAATATGTATGTATTTATAAAAAAAAGTAAATATGTATTAATATAAGTTGTCGAGTACCCACAGTACAAGTTCTGCTTAGTTTGGGACAAGATGGCGTTGTGTTAATGGGGTAGAATATTATATTATTATTATTATTCTTAGTTCTCTAGGGGTTCCCACATTGCACGTTACATGCTTAGATTGTTTTTATAAAGATTTTACTGCATCTGGCTACTGCGTTAAGATCAAGACCTTTTGTAAGATCGATGGATTAATCTGCCCACTTTGTTTATAAATCCTCTCTTCCGGCAATAAGTCGGAGATATCGTGTGGTTTAATCGCAATGCCAATTAATAATAAATTGACAGAAGTTACTATTTACTTCCGTTACCACTACGTTGATGGATGCTAGGTTTTTATGGCAGGACAAGAAGTAAGCGGCAATTTACTCTAGTTATTCTACTCTAATTGTCACAATAATACTAGAGATATTACGACACTGGAAGACAGCATTGCTGACAGCTTTTTTATTTTTATTTTATTTATTTAAGGTTCACCAACAGTTGTTACAGATATAATACGGGTAGGAACATTCATGATTCATTCATTCTTTGATGATGATATATTTACATAATAAAAAACGAGATCCTGCTGAGCTTTTCTGTACGATATATTGGTTTAGCTTGGAAAATATTGTACTAATACGAATGTTGTTTTGTTCTTATGACCTATATCAGTTCCAGAGACATATATATGTATATGCCTCTGGAAATAATATATGTATTATTATATTATATCTATATATTCGAATGTTTTTTGCAAACTCCTTATATGATACTTAAAAGTATCATCTCGTCTAGTGTCAGAGTCGCATGAAAAAATGTTGGGTATTTCATCAAATAAAACAGATACTATGAAATGTGTTATCCGTTAACATTTATTTTTAGTGATTTATTTTGTAATTATGTGATACAGTTGTAGTAGTAAAAAATCTGTCGTAATATCCTTCTTAAAACTTTTAATTACACATCAAAAATAATCTGATTATCACTGTTGCTATCGTAGATTTATTCTGATTGACTTAGTGACTTATTTCGTCTTAAATAACAACTATTAAATTAAGCATTTCAATTTAGATCTAGATCTCGTGGTTAGGCGAAAACGGCCTAAGTCTTATGAGTCTAAAACCGCCAAACATTCCCATGTACCTGCTCCTTAACAAACAACAATCGAATACTTTGCCCATCTGTACTCATGTATTAAGTTTGTTGATGACTGTTTTCCGCTTGTCTTCCTGCAATTATCAGATGGTGTAGGCGTATTGATGTCTCACAAGATTGTGTAGAGATTGTCTTACTCACATTATATCTTCGAATATTTAAATATAAACGTGTTTCGATACATGTATGTGTGGGTATGCAGTGTGAAAAGTTATGTAATCTACAATGTGTACAAATGAACACTTCTGTGAAGTGCAAGAATATGTCAATAGAGTGATGATGCTGTTATTTTGGTGCATCACTTGGAAATGAGAGAACATTTTCTTTTTGTATTTCATTTTAAAATTACGCTAGTGAAATTAGGTTTAGTTCTGCCCACTAAAATCGTACTTTACGATTTACAATTTTGTTTATTTTTTTATTTAAAAACTGCCTGCAGTTACATTGCATCAGGTGGACTTAATGCCACATGACATTATCTACCAGTCGGCATTTGGCGGATTCAGTGAGGGACATGGCAGGTGAATCCAAAAAAGATCTTATACAGAAACTTAAAATGAATTAGAAGAAATTACCAAGGGTTAGATAATTACATGATATCATGAAGAATATTTACGCTTATTAAAAACGAAAATGTGGCAAATAACAAATATATTTATATTTCGAAGTATGGCTCTTCTAAACGCAATACATATCAGTAAACTAGGAAGTAGATATCACAGTGGTGTAATTATCATATTGTTTTAAGTACCTATTCGGTTTCGATGACCACAGTAACCGGTCCGCACTTAGGACAGGCATATTATCATTTTATATTTTTTTATACTCGTAGATGTTTTCTAGTATTCTTCTCGTATAAAGGGAACACTTATTTGCTAGGGATATGTTTCACAAAGTTCCTGTTCTCCTCTTTCTTTTCACTTCTTCTATATGCAAAAGTGACGCTAATAATGTCTAAAATGAATCAACGTTACTCGCTTATCTTATATCCTATCCCATTATTATCCTATTATTCCTAAAGCATAGTCAATAGTTATACATTTTTAAATAAATTTAAGAAAATGTAGTAAGAACCGAAATTGTAGTGTTTTGTTCAAAATTACAATTTAAAATTGAGTAGGTACATTTAGTGCTATTTGTGGATGCCTCGTGTTATTGTCCTATTTGATAATGGTCTACAATGTCGCATTAACATAATAATATGTATTTAACTCAATGTTATTCGTTATTCAAAAACTTTCGATAAAATTATCAAAATGTGTGTTTAAAAATTATTATTAACTTTTTTTTTCGTCCTACGTTCAAAGTAATTATTTGTAAAATATCTTCTTTATTTTTTAGTTATTAGTGGATAACAATCGGAGTATTTATACATGCATCATACGGTTCGTGTATTATGTTTTTGTTACAACTTCTTTACTTACTACAAAACACAAATCGCAGATGTCATTCATAAAGCCGCTGCACTCCAGTGGAACTGGGCTGGTCACGTATGCCGCATGCCGACGGATTTATGGGCAAATATTAGCAGAACTTGCGTCCCACAAGGTGCTAAACGACCGCGTGGTAGGCCTAGGCCCCGATGGCGAGACGATCTAGACGGCCTCCGAAAAGACTGGAGTGGTGTGTGCTTTCCAAGTGGTCTCTTTTAGGGAGGGAATGCTAAGATGGGCCCAGATGTGGATGGGCTCCTGGTTCGGGGCACTTTCTGGCCTCGTCATCGTCTATCGGTTGAATAAATAACGCTTGAAAGTGTAACCAACAAACTCATATGTGCCTTGTCTGAGAATATTAATAATTATTGTAGATAGTGGGACCACATAATTGAAGATGCTTCAAGAACGATTCAATTGTGATAAAAAATAATTACTGTGAAATCCTATATTTCAATCGATATAAACCAATTATTGCTAAAATTGTAGTTTTGTGTTATTGCTTTTGTTATTAACAGATATATCTAAAATAACAAATTTTATTTGTTTAACTTGATTTGGTTTTTAATCCAATTGAATTCTTGTTAATACTCTTAATATTTTTATATCCTCTCTTTTGTGGGTGTTTAGTATAAGAAGATTCCTAATACTTTTGTTTTACTGCCTGTCAATACGTTTGGAACTTGCTATTGTAATGCACTGAGAACTATTAAATAAACAGTCTCTAAAACACTCTCCTTTGTTCTAAAAATGTTAACTTAAATTTTGGATTACTTTTCTATATAAGTCGAAAATTTGTTATTCGAAATCAAGTTTTACGATTTGTTTACATAGTTGCATGTTAATATGAAACATATAAAGCGCGGTCATTTATAAGTCGTGATTGTTTGCCGTTGACGTCACTCTTTTGCAGTAATGATAAATATTTGGCACCAGATTGCGTTGATAGTTCATGCATCTTACTCGTATTTACTTTTCATATTAATTACATTCATAACAAAAATGACAAAATAATGTTAAAAAAATAACTAAGCACAGCAACAACAACGTTTCTGTCTGTTATCGTACCGCTATCGCCACTTTATAACACAATCATTGATTACTAAAAGTCCATTAGAATTGCAAACGACTATGGCACGTCCAATTTATTTACCCATCCACATTATGAATGCCTCGAGTTACGTATCTAATTAAAATTTATGCGCGTACATTAAGTTCTTCACTTATCTACAGTCCCTGCGTCTTATTTATATTGCCAATATAGGTATTTTAGAATCTTGCTGCACTGACATGCACACTAATGTTGGTATTTGGTATCCTTTATGCTTCGCAACACGCAACAGTGAACCCTGATCCGTGTTAATGCTATAACATGCAAACGTTGTCCTGGATGCGACTAAATCTTTTATCGCTACCAAATCGTCTGTCGTAAATCGCAAGTCTCAGCCCATTGTTGCCGTACACGGGACTTATATGGAAGTGACCAAAATAAATCACGAACAAAACCATATCGGCGCGATCGTAGACTATCTCTCGGATCGACCGCGGGGGACTAACATCGAGATATTATGCTATTGAATTAGCATTACCTCTGTTTCCTATATTGTTGTGGTTATGGAAGCATACCTCATATTTCAGTGTCGCATTATTTTAATTTCTGTCGTGCGTCGCGCAGACGATTTGCGGAATCGTGCAAGATCTTCGACTCTGATAGTGCTAGACGCGTAATCCTTACATCTCTGTCTACTATGGGAGTGTGCGGCACCTGTGGCACGTGTGATGGCATTTCCCACAGCCACCGTCCTATTTCACCGGCTCTATATTGCCTTAAAAGGTTGTCAGATTGTTCCTACATAATAAGTTCTTTAGTAAGTTTCTATTTTTTTGTTTCAGGTGGCTCATCGACTTGAATGATCTTAACATCAACAGCTCCACCTATTAAACGTAAGACAAAATAAAATTCACTTTTATATAAAATATTCCATTGTCAATAATGCATGTGCTCCTTCAAGAGGTCATTGAATTCTTTACTTCTATTTTACGACTGTTCCACTATTTATTAAAATACTTGTTTATTTTTGCTTAATATAATTGATAACGTATCTCGCTTCCAAAATAAGTCAATAATTGACCCCAATATGTAACGGTTTAGTAACCATTCTAATTTATTCCATTGTACACTAACTACATAGATAAAATCACATATTAAATATTTAAATTGTAATATAGTCAGTGCTTACTACGGTCGATATAGATTGATCGATAAAGTTATAGATGCTTCTGATAAATAAAACCATCATTCAATTACGGGCACGTCTCGTGTTTAATACTATTGTCACTTGACCGGAGCGGAGCGAGGGAATCAAATCAAACGTTAACCCTAATAATGGTATCGGCGATCTATCGACGACTAATATACGAGATATTGATTAATAATTGGTGCACACGAGGCGAGCAGGGCGGGCGTCACGATGGAGATGGTATCTGTTGAACGTGCGGCATCCATCAGAACACGATGGATTCTATCTGTGCCGGTATCGCGCCCCAACGATAACCATTGTCTTACTGGCCGATTATATCGGCGAAATTTGTGCTCGCCTGCGACCGAACGTTTGTCTTTTGCCGCAAATGAACCGGATAATGGAGGACGGAGCATAAAAGGCGCTCGTTTCTGCTAAACTTTTGCTTAGTCATTAATATGCCGTGGGAACTAACTGTGTCTCACACGGGACACTATGTTTTTTGCTTTAGAGAAAAGACTGAGTATGCTAGTTGCCAAGAATTTCATAGTTCTATACCGTATGAATCCATTGAGTACTTACTAATAATGTAAGAAATAATAAAAATATATATAATAGATAATAATAAGGAATTTCAAATTAACACGCAAGGCTTTATTGAGTTTTTTTTTTATACCAATTGAATAGGGTGACTTTTGGGATGTAATATTACATGATAATATTCCTATAAAACTGTTGTTGTAAGTTAAAAAAAAGCATGACAGAAAATGAAATTTAAAAACCCTGTAATCTATGTCATATATTACCGATTCGCTTAATATAGCAAATAGTATACACGCTTTATTAGCGTATATGAAAATTAACTAAGGCTTATAAATAAAATAAAGAATCAAACACAAAACATGTAGAAATGAAAATGATACTTATGCTACCATTTATTGTACCCATAATTAGATTTTCCAAGGTGTTTTGATTTTTAATAAAACAAAATACTAATGTTACTACCAATAGGAACACATGCATTGAAACTGTGTTACAAAATTGTAAGTTTGCAGTTAATTTACTTAAGATCCGTAAATCACTAGGTTTTCAATTAAATTTCAGCGTAGTTGAACTTTAAACTTCTCGATTCGAATTAGCTTAATTGCTAATAATGCAATATTTCAAATCCGAATCTATTCGGCGCACATAAAAGCGGTCGACTCATGCGCAGTTGACAGCTTACAAGGTGCATGCGTTTAAGCGCAGTGCTCCCGTTCGAGACCACGACCACTTAATAGCATTAGTGTCATTGTCTTTTAGTCATTAATAAGTTCTCGGACAGTTCTATTGGACGGCGCGCCATAACGGGCCTTAGTATGTATTGGCTCGTGTCACGAATTTGTTTCCTAATGGGCAAAGGGAAGTTACGGCTAGGGCTGGCAATGTTCCCGGACATCGGGAATACGGGCATACACCTACGGTCAATGGTGTAGAGTTTCACAATTACACGGCGATTTCATTCCTTGTTACCTGTAATAGAAATTTTGTTAGACATGTATATACTCGTGCTACCGTAATTAATTCTGTAAGAGTGCTATTGTTACTTTGAATATATTTGCATTGAGTATAATTATAATTTATTAGCTTGGTCGTGTTTTTAGTGGTTTTTAAATAGTTACTTTTTTAGAGTTCAAAACAGTAGGTATTATAACGTTTGCTGGAATCAGTTGAAATGTAGGATTCTGTGATATGTGATTATATCGGCATTATTTATGTTAACACATTAGAAAAGTGTGTATTATTCGGCTTTAAATTCTGTCGCCAGGATTGAATGGCTTCTTTAGATCTTGTTTCATAAAAATATGTCTTCTTATACATTCACTTTGCCGCCTTTTTACATATGAGTTGGATTTCTTACATGTAACATTTTATTGATTAACAATAAAATGTATTGTTGTAATAAAGTTCTCAGGAGGATTAGTTACTACTTCTCAACATCGACCATTGGGCCCGCCAGGAATTATTATCACGCCTGGTTAGAGGGTTCTTCCTCTGTGTTTTGTAGTGACATAAAACCACACTACAATTTGCCTTTTTGAAGAATTCGCTTATTCTTTTGTTCTCAGCTTACTGTATGCATAATATTAAGTTCTTTATGGACTCAGATGGTTCAAGGACTCATGCTGGGATACTATCTAACTAAACATACTAGCTAGAACTTCCTTAACAGTGCCATTAACACGGAATAGGTAAAAGTCCATAAACTAAATTAAGGACCACATAAATCAGAGCTATGCTACTCGATTTATTACGGCAGTAACAGTCAAGTGAAGACGTATTTTATAATATGTTAGGCCATTACTCTTATCTCAGCCTTTAGACGCGGCTAAACATGACAAAATTTAAATCCTGTACAGAGTACATGTAAAACCACTTAAATGTCAATGTGATTGCAGGTGATCGTCCTAAGATTAGCTCATTAAAACCTCTGACACAGATTCACTTTATCGTCGCCGACAATTGCTAAATCGCTGCTTCAATTCCGTCGACAGCTGTAAATCCATTTAAACGCTGTAGCGGCCGCACGTCCGGCTTCAATTAAGCTCAATTACACACGACCGTCTCGACATAGCCTCTTTGATACACCGACTGCTGCTTGACAACCGACTTCTGAGTTACTCCGATAACGCTGAAATTAATATTCTTAATATCTGTATATCTTACTCGCCAAGACGAGCCACGTGAAGCGCAAGGGTTGCTACCTACCCTTTCTCTAAGCGCTTGGTCGTTTTTTTTAACCCTTATAACTTGGGTTTGGATTATACCAGACAAACAAAATTCTCGGAATATGATGTCAATAGTGGACTTATTAAATATATAAAGTTTTAATTGCATAGCTCTGATACTTTAGATTTTTGTGATGTCTGTAAAACCCCGGTTTCGCCACAGACTCACTGATGATCATCAAAATGATTATGGTACTGCCTGAAGTAATAGTAAACACGCCCTAGCTGTAAAATGTATCTTGGCCGTTTTGTTACTACAAGAACTACTTACATAACAGAAAAGTAATGAACAGAGAATGAATTTTTCACCTTACGTCCATGTGACGGTTCGAAGTTTATAAAGTTAGGGCTTGTAGAGTTAAAAGCTTGGCTCTGCATGAGATCTGCCAACTTTTTGACAGTTCAAGCCATATGGTCTCGTCTTGGCAACATTTCCAATGAAAATGTCTTTAGTGGTGTCTACTTACTATACCAATATGCACGTTTATTTATATAATATGTAATTAACCTGTAATGTCGTTGGATTATAATCTTGCTGAATCCGTCCGAAACCCTACAGCAACATTAGTACAATATTGTATTTTTGCATCTAAATGCATTACTAACGTCCTTCTCCTTAAATGAAAGTATATGAGTATTAAGGGTTAAAGTATGAAATTGCCGTTGTATAATAATAGATTCTTTGAATTGACATAAAACCTTCATGGTGTGAGATTTTCGTGTGAAACTTTTTTCAGCCCTTTTTAAAATGTGCAACATTCAACTGCTTTTTTTTATTCAGCTTAGACGTGAAAGATGGATACTTCGAAAATCCAAGTCATTTTTGAATAGGAGTTCCGACGCGGAACTATATCAACGCTCGCAATATCAACACTGCGTTTGGAGAGGAGACTGCTAGTGAAACGCACCGTGCGTTTTTTTGGTTTAAACCCTTTTGTAATGGAAACTCCGACTTGAAGGACGAACCACGTGGAATAGCGCCCACACAGTTGAACAACGCTGATTGAATAACGCTGAATTTGAAGGAGGTGGACTAAGCAAACCTAAACTAAACTAAAGTAACTTGTGTTGCAAATGGTAACTGTTTGGTGGTATCTTCATGGTGTTATTCACTATAACTTTCTCAGGTCTGCTCAGGCAAAAACACCAGATGTGTACTGTGCCTAACTTCGAAAAATGATGGCAAAACTGGCATTGAAACAGCCCCGACTCGTGAATCGATCTTCACTATTATAGCTCCACGATAACGCAAGACCTCACACTGCACGAGAAACCGTTGTAACTCTACAGGAGCTACAGATAGAAATCATACGTCATCCTCCGTACTCGCCAGACCGTACCATTTTTTTCGTGATTTGGTCAATTTTCTACGTGATAAAAAATTTTTTCCCAGGAGGCAGTACAAATGCTTTCACACAGTTTGTCGAATCTAGATCCCCAGAGTTCTATCGTAAATGCATAAATGAACTTCCGTTTAGATGGCAGCAATGTATAGATAATTAGGGGTAAATATTTTGATTAAATAAATATGTTACATTTCAGAAAAAAACGAGTTTCAATTTTTCAGTACAAATCGGCAGTTTCATATTTTAACCCCTAATAATTGCCAAAAGCATTGGCAAGCAAAGACACCAGCATGTCGTTGCAGTTAGATCTTTGATCACTAGACGAGCAAACGCAAACGAGCAGATGGGTCGCCTGATGGAAAGCGCCTACCGCCACCCATGAACGCCTGCAACTCAGGAGTCACAAGCACGTTGTCGGCCTTTGAGGGAGCAGTACGATCTTTTCTTCAAGGTTTGGAGGTCGTATCGGTCCGGAAATACCGCAGACGATAACTTGTTCCACAGGTTGTTTATGCAAGTGCATTGAAAAGCTCACAGTGGTGAAGTGCCAATTATCCAAGTGGTGGGGATGAATTTTTTTTCCGTGTAGAACGATGGCGGAAAGTTGCGGCCGGTATTAGTCCGAAAACTTCCTTGGAGCACTATTTATAATATATATGATAGAGAACTGAGAGAGCCTGTCGGAGATCTTTTGTCTATCGACGATTCAAGTCGCTGTTCGTTGGATACGGCCCAGAGGGAGAAGCTGGTACTGGGGTGCCTCTGCATAGAGATGAGAACAGTATTCCATATGCGGCCGAACTTGCGCCTTATTGAGTTGAAGCGGTAAGCCGGAGCGAAATACTGCCTCGATGTGTTCTGCACACCGAATTTCTTCGAGGCCAAGTACTTATTATTTTCTTTTTAATCTAAATGTTATAATTGAATTTGTTTTTGCAGTCCACTGTGGAACATAAATAACTTCGCAGTCATTTACTATCTATTATTGTGTATTGTGTATGTACATACCCGATGTACATACACAATAATATATAGTTAACTATACAATTTTTAGCGACATCAGCAAAATTCTGGAGCAGATCCCAGTTTTCTAAAAATCATTTACTAAACCCTCTACATTTTCAACCTGTCCAACAGCGGAATTTGTTACGCTATTTCCTTGTGCGCCATACACCTGTTTCTGTGCCAAACAACCATGTTTTTTTAAAAGTGCCCGATCTATCACCATTAATAGTCTTTTTTAAAAATATCCAGGAAATGATGATGTCTTAGTAACATTATTATCATCATAAGCAACACTGCCAAGTCTCGTTCGCCAATAAGTTATTATGAGCTAAGATAAACACCGATGGTATATTTCTTAATTGCTCGTTGCATGATACGAACACTATCGGGGCACTATTTCCAACATAATAAGCATTATCATAAAAACAACAAGCTAGTAACTCGCGGCATTCGGTGTGTTCATGACGGGACCAACGATAACCCGTAAACCGCCTCAGTTGTATTTTGTGTTCAAGAGAAAACAGTACGCCTTGTGCGCCGACCACTTTAATTGTTTCTTACTGAAATTCGAACAAGTGTCTTATGTTCGTGAGTTTGCAATGTGTTTGTGACGTAATCTTAACGTGTACAGCTATTTGAAAGTCAACAGGAAAATGTAAGTAAACGTTGGCTGCATTTAATAATAAGGATCAAATCTGTAAAAATTAACACGTTACATTTTCGAAACTTTAATCAATAAATATATCGAAATTTATGATTAATGGCACTTGTAATTTGTTTTTGAGATATAAAATTAGCCTATTGTTGCCATTGACCGTTCAATATCGATTTTACTAAAGTTAAATTATATGATGTTGTGTTAAGTTTCAATGAAGGTTTTTTACGTGTGACTGAATGGGTCGACGCTTCTCTATTTTACAGCGGGTCGTCTTTCGATCATTAATCACCCTCTTGTTTGTCCTAGGACAAAGATTTGATGTTTATGTAATCGTTAGTGTTTGTGTTATATACACAGCAGTAGAAATTAAAGAAAAATGTAAATGTTGTGAAAATTTTCTAAATTATTATAAATCAGATATTATGCTCCTTAAAACTGTAATATTATAAAGATAAACGTTTTTTTTTGTCAATCGGTATGTTTGTGAATTACGCCAAAACGGCAGAGATGAATTCTATTCTGGAAGAGAACATAGGCTAAATCGACATCAACGCAAGCGAACTTGCAGGCACAAACACTAGCTTATGTCCCCAATAACTATTGATATCTTATCGCAATACCTTAAGAATTTCGAACGTCTCAGTGCAGTCAGAACAAATGAAGGATGGAGGATGGAACCAAGGATTTGTTATTACGCGCATAAAATAAAAAAATGTTGTTCAGAAATGGTTTTTTGATTACTATGGCCGAATGGCTTTTTGATTACTAGTTCTATTTCATATACATATGAACGAATCGAATTCATAAACAAACAGTCATAAACACACTATCCATTCAAACCATCTCTGATGAAGAAACCCATCTCTAAAATATCTCTGATCCGAATCGAGTTCTTTAATAATTTTAAAAATTAAACTTTTATAGCTGTCAGAAAAATAAAGTTCGTTTCACTATCATTAAACAATAATAATTGATACTATTCAACCGACTTCAAAATGGAGGAGGTTATCAATTCGATTGGTATTTTTTTTTTCACTAATATTTTATTAAATGATTCACACATGAGAATAATTATTACTTATAATCACTAATTACTTGCTTTGTTACTAGCTTTTGCTAGAAATTGCCTGGTAATTAAATTATGACCACACTTTATTTTTAGTTTAATTTGTTGCATACATATAACTGGAACTGTCATTGAAGAGACCTACTTTTTTATGGAATAGGGGGCAAATAGGCAGACGGGTCACTTGATGGAAAGCGACTACCGCCGCCCATGAACGCCTGCAACTCAGGGAGTCTCGATTCCTCGGAGCACTCTTCATGATATATACGATAGAGAATGCAGATCTTCACGTAACGTCTAGGAATCGAGCCGGTCGCAAATCTTTTGCCTATCGACGATTCGAGTCGATGTAATATATGTTCATAAAAACAAAGAAAGCTTTTTGAAAATAAGTGATGTACATTCTATAAATACCAGAAATAGAAATTAACTAGTAGCACCCGCCAAAGATAAAAGTCTTTTCGAAGTCAATGTGTCCGATTTTATAATAAAATCCCAAATAATATTCAAGACTTAAGTATTAACAAATTTAAATCCGCAATAAAACGTGGATTGTGCCAGACGGCCTATTACTCAATTGTGGATTTCATAGAAGACAAAAATGCTTGGGATAAATTAGCGCAGGCTATTTCTCAAGTAAAATGTGGTGTGGGCTAGCGTGTTTTTTTCTTTCTTTTTTTTTTATGTTTCACTTCATTTTCTCTTTTATTCGTTATTTTTTCTTAATATTGTTTTGTCTTCATTGTCTTTTTACCTTTAAGTAATTAATAACGGAAATACTGGTACCCATCAAAACAATGTTGTGGTATATTTAATAATGCCATTGTGCTGTATCTATCTGTGAATTGCAAAAGAGTGGCCATAAGTTTGTTTGCCCTTTCTTCTCATATAACTCAACGCCTTGAAAACGGGTGGTTTTAGATCGGCACAGTCATAAGTTTAATTTTTATTGAAGTTATTTGCTTACTATTTGACAAAACAGAGATTATTGCTATTGTGTGTGTCTGAGGCTCATGTCCAGCAGTGGACTATTAAAGGCTGTTGATGATGATGATGATGATGTGTGTGTTGATCTATGACTTTAGAGTCTACGTAAAAGACAATTTCAAACTTTTTTTTTATAATATAAAGAGAGTTTGAGTTAGAGTATTCCATATGCGGTCGGACTTGCGTCTTATAGTGTTGGAGGCGATGGGTTGGGGTGAAATACTGCCTCGATCTGTTCAGCACACCGAGCTTTGAGCCAATTTGGACGAAACTGGACTTCGCGTGATATCTGCGAATATACTGGGTCTACCAATAGTGATGACCTGGTTTTGACAGCTCATAGCGGCCATGTTTGATAATGGATCTTTGACGTCTCTTGACATTTGTGTTTAGTAAGGTTTGCCATTGCCATGTCACGTTTCACTTTAAACCAGCGCTTGGAAATTGCCCAAAATTATTACGCAAATTCGCGTTCTCCTACCGCTACAGTAAGAGCGCTTCGCGCAAAAAACGGTCGTCATAGTGCTCCTTCTGTGCGCGCTATAAATCGCATAACAACAAAAATTTGAAAGTGAATTCACTCTCCACGATACTGCTGTGCCTGTGAGACAAAGAAATGCCCGTAGTGAAGAGAATATCGCAGCCGTTCAGGCCAGTGTTGATGCGAATTCAAATCGATCAGTTCAACGACGTTCCCAAGAGTTGGGGCTCTCTCCAATGACCACCTGGCGTATTTTGCGCTTGGGCCTACATCCATACAAAATTGTTTTGGCACAAGAATTGAAGCCATCGGACCATTGTATCCGTCGTGAATTTGCCGATTATCCACTGGAAATGATGGAAGCCGATGACGATTTTAATCGTAAAATCATCTTCTCAGATGAGGCCCATTTCTGGCTCAATGGATTTGTTAATAAACAAAATTGTCGCTATTGGAGTGAGTTAAATCCAAGTGTGGTCCATGAATCACCATTGCATCCGCAAAAAATAACAGTTTGGTGCGATTTATGGTACGGTGGAATCATTGGTCCGTACTTCTTTGAAAGTGACGAAGGAAACCCTATTACTGTGAATGGCGAGCGCTATAACTCGATGTTAACCGAATATTTCTTTCCGGAATTTGATGATATTGATGCAGTCGACCTTTATTTTCAAGAAGACGGTGCACCACCTCACATTACTCGAGTGAACATGGAATTATTGCGTGGAAAGTTTGGTGAGTCGTTAATTTCGAGAAATGGACCGATCAGTTGGCCACCAAGATCGTGTGATTTAACACCTTTAGACTATTTTCTTTGGGGTTACGTTAAATCTAAAGTGTACAGCAATAATCTAGCTACAATTCGTGACCTAAAAACTAACATTCGACTAGCCATAGCCGACATACCGGCCGAAATGGTCCACCGCGTCATCGAAAATTGGCGTGAGCGGGTGACCGTCTGCAAAAAGAGCCGTGGCGGTCATTTGGCCGATATATTATTTAAAACATAAATTGCATAAAATTATCTATCAAATAAATCAATCGGATGCATTTTTTATAAAAAATTGTATTTATTCAATTTTTTAACCAGGACGTTCTTATTGGTAGACTCCATTTATGCGATATCTTCTTTGGGGTGAACGCGCAAATCTGTGTCTTTTTTTTGGGTTAAAATGGACCAGGTTCAGTCGAACCCAAGCTGAAACCTCCGCCAAGGAAGTTTCAACTTCAGACACAAGTTCGTTTCGACTCTTGATGACGTTTTCCCAAGAAATATTGGGGCGGCCGGTGTAAATGTCATCCCCTTGCTATTATCTGCATAGCAATAGATGCTACTATTTCGTAACTTATCATTGATATGCAGTAGAAACAATGTGGGTGATAGAACACAGCCTAGGGAGCGGGACGACGCCTAGGGAGTAGGAGAGTTGAAGAAGGCGAGTTAAAACCGGTGCTAACTCTGGAGCACACGTCTTCAACACGATAGGGGAGATTCAACGGGCCCACTCGACTTATGAATATCGAGGAAAAGTGTACGCACTGATTTCTGTGTGAACCGGATTTCCGGCACACAGCTCTGGCACCGCGGTATGGTCGGCGGTACGTTTCCCCCGTCATTTAAACTAGGAGATCGGCTTTCTCCTTCGCATCATAGGCCAACGAATTATCGCCCATCTGCAGGGGTGCATACCAAGATATACATACATTTGAAGTATCTCACAGTTTTCACGCATTTTTAAAACACAGATATATTGCTTTAAGATTTTAGCTCTGTGTATCTTCTATACATAAACTTATATCTATAGTACCCTCATATAGTATCCCTATAGGTACCTCATAAAAGGATTGAAAATGTGCCATGTTTTAAAAACAACAGCTTTATTTGTATCTCTAAAGGCTTTGTCTATATGTAGCCAGTTAGTCTGTATCGATTGTCGATCCGCCATGTGCTCACTTTGTGTAATGTTGATGTTGATAGTCAGTTTTCTAAGCAGAGTACGTAGAAAAGCGCACACCTTATATTTTTAACTGATAAAATAGTATTACTAAGAAATTCAACTGACGGATTTTAAGGTGAATTAGTAATGACTGCAATTGTAAGTAAGTGACGTGTAATCGCAAAACCAAAACTTAATTTTGATGATAAAAGATAAGAGCTTAGTCAGGAGAGCGATATGTTCTTTATATCTGTCTGTCCTCTAACAAAAACTCTTGATTAAATCCTAATATTTTAAATATTTATGTTCATAGCTCACAAAAGGTGGTTTCAATAGTATGCATTCGAGCAAAAGCGATGCATTCGAGCCATGTTCGGAATCCAAAGTAGTGAAAGTTGAAATCCGCTTTTAAAAAATACAAAATTCTCACACTACCGTCCCTATATATATATATTGGCGGTGGCTACCTTTGTAAAAAAAAATCCTCACTTATTTCCTAAGCTCGGACCATGTAACGTAATCGCCG